ATTTCCCGGCCTAACTAAGTGTTATGTTTTAAGTTTAACGCGATACCCGAGTTTCTTCATTAAAATTATAAAAAAAAGTCATCTTTAACATGTCCACATTGCACGAGCGCGACCTTCATACCGGCTCATTCGTGTCTGCAAACCCAGAAGTCGTTGTGCTGCCGCTTACCATACGGAAAACCACTCACCCTACCCAAACTTCATCTAATACACAGACGCACCAGGATACTACAAACAATCGAAACAGCAATTTCACTTCTATCAATCGTGTGCATAGGAAGCCAGTGGCTGGAAAGGTTACCAATAGTCCACCTAGAGTGGTACGACCGACATCTTGTTCCGCTCAGGACGGGCGCTGGGCGGGTGATACTATTACAGCTGTGCTGCATGCGCCTGTCACACTTCAGGGACGTGGGTGCAGGAGCTCAGTGGCGGGATTTGAGCTGGACATGTCGAAGTGTGGAAGTATAATGCATTCGTCAAGTAAGACTGCCTCCCCTGGTACCATCGAGCAACCGCCAAAAACACACCCATCATGTCTTCGCCCCGGAGTCCACATACTCCGCCGCAGCTGCTGTGAAGACCAACCTGAATACCTCGTCCCACCCCACGACCGCCTCTTCACAGCCTCCTCCAATGAGCCTCCCCCTCTCCATATATTTGCTCTTGTTCGTGCACCTGTCACCATGCCTCCGCCACAACATGTACGTGAATTTGGTATGAAGCATGATATTGAAGACTGGTTATCTGGGATTCCACGCTATGATTATTTTGTGGATGGACGGCCGTTGGTGGAATCGATTTGGACGTGGAGGGAGGTGATGCATTGGCGTTGAATATGCTTGTTTGAGATTTTGATTGCATTGCTGTGGAACAGGGGTTGACGTAATATAGCGTATAATAGAAGTAAAACTATGTTTTATACTTAACTTAAACCCCTACTATGAAAGTAAACTACCACTTTAGATATATATAGGGGTATTAGTTTGAGTTATTTACACCCATATAGTAAACCCCTGGAACACCATTCTACTATACACAATTTTGTACCGCAGTGTAGGCTAAATCTATCCTAGTTTCCGTATTACAGCCGACGTTCATGCCCCCTCTTGTAGATGACTCTCAATGACAACAACTATCCTTTGAGACAAATGTAGGAACTACAGCAATGCAACACGTCAGGCCACATGAAAAGGCCCTTTTATTATTTTGTACGTCACGCCAAATCCACTTATATATTGGTTGCAATAGCCCGTACCATCCTTTGAGCATCATTTCAAGTCTTCTACTGTATTGGCCAGCCCCTTCTGTTTCAACAACCATGAAGCTTACATTCCTTTGTTGCCTTCTTTCCATCGCGACCACTGGCTATGTATGTTCTTTATCTCAATTTTAGATGCATACATTCTAATATCCATACAGGGAGGAGTAGCCATGCAGGCGGGAGATTTTCCCGAAGGGAAATGGAAAGCGAGGTGCACATGCGAGGGCAGCGCGCTTCGCAATGAAGTAGCAGCTGTATGTTGTGGGAGCAATGGGGGAACAGGAAGCAAAAACCCCGGAGAGTGCTTGCTCGGCTTAGTACCTGGCTTTACACTCTCTGAAACAGAAATAATCTGGAAGAAGTGCTGTGTGGACAAGCCTAAGTTTCCGAAAGCGGAAATGTCTGGTGGATACTGCGCCTGGGGTTGGCCCCCCTAGGTACTAAGGTACCATGGGCCAGTCACATTTATCACTGGTTGTTTTAGATCTACCTATTAAAAAGCAATCAGAAACACATGCAGTGCATTTTCTCCGCTACCTCGCAGCAAATGAGTGAATGTGTAAAATAAGATGCTTACCTTTCGCTGTAAATTGTGTAGATCTCAGATTGTAACCACTAAGGTATAAACCTGTTCCATGACACAGTAATCTCCCACTCCCCTCGGGCTTCAAAAGACCACTAAGTGTTTCTCGCAGCCTAAGGACCAGTACTTCATTAGGCCTGACCCTTTTCAAGCTCATTTGGTATGTGGAATCTTAATTTGTTATTTTACAGTATGAATACTGTGAAAAAAAGAGGCGTGATGAACAGTGAGAATAACACTTCGCATGCTTATCTTGCAAGCATGCCGCCCCATCAACATGTTCAAAACAAGTAAGCCCATCTTGCTTGCACATATTACTGCTTGATATAGCCAGGCTCCTCATAAAGGATCAATGTGATCTACGGCATGGTTGAGGGCCTTGTATTTGCACTAATTTAATTTAAATCGATCATTGAAGTTTTGTGATTATTGTTGAGTCAACTCATTGGGATCAATTTATAAAGAATTATACGGATAAAGTTGGAGCGTGACATTATTATGTGAGCTCGAAAATGATGCAGAACCGGCTTGATGGCGCTCAATCCATCAGCCAGCTAGGATATTGAGTCAGTGCTAGAAATAAATTAACAACCCTTGCTAACTTTAACGCGCCAAATCTCTTGATATGTTGGCCGCCTGAGATGCAACGTATATAAAATCATATTCATCCCTTTCTTGAATACCTCTTTTACACTTGTATTGACACGCATCTTTCCGCATCATTCGCATCACATAACGCAATCTGCTTATCCCAAGTACAATGAGACTTACTATTCCTGCTTACCTCCTGTTTATTGTCACTTTGGCCTATGTATGCAACCCTAGCATATCCTTCATGTCTTCAACTCTGGTGCATATAGTCTAACATTTCCACAGGGACAAGAAACAAAGATGACGTGCCGGTGCTCGGGCGGCCCGAATGCCGACAGCGTTGCCCGGGGGTGTTGCGAGGAACACCCATTCAAAAACCCTTCAAATTGTCATCTTCTTATAGAGCAAGGAAAGACATTTTATGACATAAAAACGCCATTCAATTCCTGCTGTAAGAAGGGGGGAACTGGTGGTGCAGCGTGCCTTATGGGCTGGCTATAAGGCGTATACCGGTAGTCGGCACCGGGATTATATGTATCATTCTACTCAAGATAATCTGTATTCACATATCACATGTACACGTCTATATCCTTTATAGCGGTTAAGGACTCTGACCTACATCTACATTCTATCCATGAAACGTCGTGAGATTGCTTACCCGCACGCCAATCTAAGGTACCTTGGCGTGGCTCATGAGAGATAGGTAGCGGACACACCGTAACTTCTATCTTGATTGTGTCCTTGAAAACGTTCTAATTGCCAAGACTACCATCACGTAAAAAACTGCCGTTTGTTAGAGCACTGTTGCGGGAATTTAAGCAGCCGTGTTATAAACCGACCAGTGTTAAAAACCGACGAGCAAGCTCACCTCAAGGGTAGTA